GCCAGACTAAATGGTTTCATGAGCCTTATATGGCCCGCAGGCTGGACGTTCCCCACCCCTAGTATAACAGTAGAAGTGTAAGTTATGTGTTAGTGTTGTTAAGTGCCGTTGAGTCGATTCCAATCCATAGCAACCTTGTATAGAGCTTCCAAGGAGCTGCTGGTGAGCTTGAATTACTGACCTTGCAGTTCACTGACGCATTAGCCCACAATGCCACACCAGGACTCCAAGTTGGTAGTATATGATGGAAAAAATAAACCAGACCCAGTGTCATCCAGTCAATCCTGACAGGACAGAGTAAGGTATGTTTGTGTTAAGTGCTGTTGAGTCAGTTCTGACTCATAGTGACCCTGTATAGGGTTTCCGAGGAGTGGCTGGTGAGCCTGAACTGCCTACCTTGCAGTTCAAACTGACTTTGCAGTTCAGTGCATTAACCCACAGCGCCATACCAGAACTCCGCGTAAGGTGTGTAGAAAGTCTTAAATGGCAGAATATAGCAGAAGTTTGGAATATTTTTTTTTTATATACTCGGGCAGGTTTGAGAGAGGAAAACAGCATGATGAAAGCAGATTTTTAGGGAAAAGAAATCAGAGTAAAGAACAGTGACCAGACATTTTTCTATTGAGTCCCTCGGATGTTCAGATAGGAAAAAATGAACCTTGGTTTCTACCTCACACTATTTACAGAAACCAATTCCAAGTAGTTTGCAAATCTACAAGAGAAAGATAAAACAATAACTAGGAAAAACAAAGAAGAATAGATAGCGTCATGACCATGAGGTTAGGCAAAGATTTGTTGCACAGAACAACAACAACAAATTCACTAACATGAAAGAAAAGATTGATAGATTTCATTAAAAGATTGATGGATTTCATTAAAATTAATTATTTATCAAAAGACCATTGAGAAAGTAAAAGATGTATTTGAAATACATCTGACAGACGAGTTGTATCAAGATTATATACAAGATTATACACAAATCAATAAGAAAAATGCTGAAATATTGAAAAAGTGGGCAAAAGACATAAACAGGCACTTCACAAAGGAGGACTTCAAAATGACTAGTAACGGTATGAAAAGATATTCAATATCACCAGATAAATGCAACTGAAACTACAGTGAGAGGCCACTACATACTCACCGGAACATTGCCAGTTGTTGATGAGGGTGTGGTACAACTAGAACCATCTTACGTTATCAGTAGCACATGGGGAAACCATTTGGGAGTATCATATAGCCCTTCTTCTGACCCAGTATTCCTCTGTTAGCTATATATCAAAAAAATAAATGCATATGTCTGCCAGAAGACATGTAAAAGAATGGTCACAGCAGCTTTTATTCTTAATAGCCTAAAACTGTAAACAGCCAAAGGAGAATGGACTAATATATTGTACTATATTCACCAATAGAATGTTGTTGTTGGTAGGTGCCATCAAGTTGGTACCAACTCATAGTGACCTTATGTACAACAGAATGAAACACTGTCCAGTTGTGGGCTAACTTCACAATTGTTGCCACGCTTGCGCCCACTGATGCTGCCATTTACCAGTCCATCTCTCTGGAGGTCTTCCTTGTCAAACATGATACAGTAGAATACTACACAACTATACAAGGACATGAGTTTCATAGACAAAATGTTGAGTGAAAGAAGCCAGAGCCCAAAGAACATGCTATGTTCTTTTCATACAAAATTCAAAACCAGCAAAATGAATCTGTGATAATAGACGTTGATATAACTTTTGGGGGAGTTAACTGATTAGGAGAAAGTTCCAGAGAGCCTTATGGAATGCTGGAATTAAAATCTCTATACAAAGAGGCTTCAGAAAGCTCACGAAAACTGGAATAAAACAATTGAATTTTTCAGTGATCTATTTTGAGTCTCTGTATAAGTTGATCTGGATAGTGATGACACAGGTTTATATGTGTGTACAAAAGAAGCTGTGCCCTTTGTAGTTGGTGCACTTTATTGTATGAATACGATACTGGCAAAACAAAACAAAAAATCGTCACCAGCTGTTCATTTGGGGAAGTAAATGTTTGAGAAATGTAATGTTGTAGAAGGTCTTCAATGGCAATAAAATTGCAAAAGTTTGGAATCTGTCTTTTAACTCTGGCAGGTTTGAGAGAGGAAAATAACATGATGAAAGCGGAGTTTTAGAGAGACTGATCTTTAGAGATGCGCCTCATGGACTGAGGTCTGATAGACCATTCAGGAACCCAGTGCAATAGGACCTGAATTAAGGCCATGTGGTTGAAAATGGAAATTCTGAAGGAAGAAGTTTGGTAAGACTGGTTACTTGGTTGGATATGAACAGCAAAAGGTGACTGAGCTTCCACTCTGGATGGTTGGAAAAATGATGGTCCCGATAACAAAAACAAGAAAACCAGAAATAGGGATCAGTTTAGGAAGTAAGAAGATGAACACTTTAAAATTCTGTCATCTTGAAGTGGTTGCACATCCCCTTAAGACAGTTGTGGGGGTTCAGAATAACAATCAGGGGTGGCAATATAAATTGAGTAGATGGAATCCCTAACAAAGAGTAACCAGAGAAATGGAAAAAGGTCAGCTCCTAGAGAAGAAAAAGGGAACAGGGGAAGTATGAAATTGTGGTCAAAAGAAGAATAATGTGGGATCATGCAAGCTAAAGGAAGAGAGAGTTAGGATGAAGATATAAAGGGAGAAGGTTTTGAAGAGAGGAAAAAGAAAGCTTGAGCGTGTGATGGAGTAGAGAAGGTTGAGGAGACATGTTCTTGGAGAGGGAGGAAGAAACAACATCTGAAGGCAAAGGTGGAGGACTTATCCTTGGACTGATTTACCTGTGAAGAACCCAGTTGCTTGCAATTAAGAGCACAAGACTTTGTCAGCACCTGCTGTAATTTACTCTTGCAATGTTCTTTGTCCTCCAAGTAGGAGCGGAGGGTGACCCAATGTTGGAAATGAGTACTGATGTGGGGACTAAGGAGTCCCAGGTATTCAGACTAATTATGGGTCCCAAGCATAATCTGTTTTGTGTGAAAGGAATTTTAGACACCATCCATGCCCTTTGGAATGTAGGGAGTCAATATATTCACATGTTGTATAATATGGCCATGATTAAGTGACAAAACAAATGGTGTAGGTTGTTTTGAACACTGACTTTGCCACTTTGGTCATGCTGTATTAGTTCTGTGTGCCTCTTTCCTCATTTGTAAAATAATATCTACCTCATATCTTATTCTGAAAGATTAAATGAATTAATGCAATTAGTGCTTAGAACAATGCCTGAAAATTGTTAGCATGTGATAAATGTTAGTCAAAAATGTTAATTCAGAGAAGGGGGGCAGGGGGAGACTAGAGTTTGGAAGCCTTTGTGGAGGAATTGGGATTGTTGAGAGGCACTTTAGGGATAGATAGGAAGGGAATGAGGGAAAAGGAATTCTAGATTCAGAAAACCGTTATGAACAAAGACTTGGTACCAGTAAAACCATGGCATTTACTTAATTGGCTTAGTGGGCCAGACTGTACCTGTTGGGGAGTATGCATGAAGACACCATATACTGCCTTTGTAACACTTGGGGGGTCACCATCACTAGAGAATTCTGGAATCTCATCAGGTGGGTTTATGAAAAGAGCCCTAAATTATTTGGAGCTCATTCTGCTATTGGTCTCTTGAGGAACCTCAAGTTTTATGGAGTTAAGCCTTAAACTGGACCCTTAGGGTTAAGTAAAAGACAAAAGACAGTCTTTAATTTTTAAAAAAATAAAATTCCTAAATTGTCTTTGTGGAGCCCACTCATACCAAGTTGAATTTAGGTGTAGAATCTCATTATTTTTTGCAAATTAATCATATTTTCCAATGAAATTTAATAAAATAATTTCCTCTCTTTCTTCAGAAAGGGACAGATTTCAACAAAACCAAAACCAGGAAACTAAAGGGAAAATGTAGCACCATGGGCTTTGGCTGAACTGCTGGGAAAGCTCTTAAGGCTTTCATAGTAAGTGAGTGGGACACATTTGCTGGTCCTTTTACGACAGTAACCAAACACTGTTGCTTTTGACATCAGGAATTCCTCCTTTTCAAGGTGTGTCTTTAAATACCCCCGGTCTCTGTATAAACATTAATGGAAATGGACTTTCCTAATAATGTGCCTAGAAATTGCTGACTCGGGTATAGTCATACTTCCGTTTTTCTTCCTCGATGGAATTTGCACTTGTCAACCAGTCTCGCTTCTCTGTCCTTCCCAATTCCAGTTGCATGAGGGCCTCTGTGTGCCCTCCCTGCCTGCAGTGCTGTTGCATCAGAGGGCTTTCTCTTTGCTTCTTCTCATTGCTAAGTGGGAGGTACTTAGAGCAGTGTCTGCCCTCTCCACAAACGAAGTGCTGTGCGTTTGTCCCTGGCAAGAGTTTAATTGTAGAAGATACTTAATAGCTTCTATGCAATTTAGTGAATTGAAAAATAACTTAAAACAGAAGAGCTAAAGCAGATGGGAACTATTTTATCTTTATTTTGTGCCACCAGAGATTTGAAGGGTCTATTTTGTTTTCAGGAACCGAAATTTGAGAAGAATAACATTTTACCCTTGCGTCACCCTTGGCAGGAAGAGTGTCTCTTTAGGCAGTGGGGTTCTAGGAGAGGAAGATGACTTGAACATAGAAGGACCCCAAAGCTACCATAGACCTCTGGAGAGTTTAGAGTAGAAGTCCCTTGAGGATGTGGAGTATATCTTTGTTGTAATTGTTTCTTAACGGTGAGTGGTAGCAAAGCAAATGGTAAACACTAATTATTCAAGAGAACCCCATCATCTTTTGCTCTAGTTCATGTCATCCCTCTGAGGGGCGGCTCTGAGCAGCCATCTAGTCCATTTATGACACAAATTTTCAAATGAGAAGAAGAGCCATGTTATGGAAGAGGGCTAGACTCCCTGTGCTACTGAGGATGGGTTGAGGGTGGGATGGTTTGGTCTGGCCTCTTTTTAGAGCAGTGATTGATTAATGTTGTCTGTGTTGCTATTTCTTCCAGAGCTGGCCTGTCCTGGACAAAGCATAACTAACGAAGCTGCTGCAGGATGAGAAGATGGCAGCACGGCTGCTCGCACCACCAGGCCCTGATAGTTTCAAGCCTTTCACCCCTGAGTCGCTGGCAAACATCGAGAGGCGCATTGCCGAGAGCAAACTCAAGAAACCCCCAAAGGCCGATGGCAGCCATCGGGAAGATGATGAGGACAGCAAGCCCAAGCCAAACAGTGACCTGGAAGCAGGGAAGAGTTTGCCTTTCATCTATGGGGACATCCCACAAGGCCTGGTTGCGGTTCCCCTGGAGGACTTTGACCCATACTATTTGACGCAGAAAGTGAGTTGGAGGAGGAGAAGCAGCTTTACACACCCCTTTCCTCACAGGCTTAGGGGAGATGGGGAAATACTGTCTCTTTGCCAAAGTTTGGCTAACGTTTTGTTTCAGCTCAGGTGTATGGAGATTCTTTTTCCACTTCTTTGCTGCAAAGGGTCATTTGTGGGTCTTGGCACACCTCTACTCTTTTAATACGACTTTTGTTTTTGGCTCCAAGCCAGATCAGAAAAAGAGGACATAAATGAAACGGGAGTGTTTAATAGAATCCAAGAAGGATGGCATAGTAGAAGACGGTAGCCCGGTGAAGTCTCTAGTCAAACACATACTTAACGTTCTATCTGTGAATATAAAGATGGTATTATTAAGGCAATATCATCAGAACCTGTTAATATAGGTGAGATGATGGATTTGCACTCTTATCTAATGTCACTCTTTGTGACATTAGAACGTAGCCATTGGGGATAGGAATAAAGTAAACTAAACTGGGTTAGTCTCCAGGTCTCTGGCCTTAGTACACAGTTGTCTGATTGAACCAGCACTGATTCTTAACATTAGAACCCATTCTGTTATTCCTGCAAGTAGAGATCATGAATGAAAGAAACACCAGTCTCCGTTTGGCTGAGGATTTCAGACTTCTCTAACAGAGATTTGTCCAAAGCCTTGGATTTCTTTTTTGTGGTTATCTTTTAATAATAATGCAACAAATGGAGAAGCCGAATCGCCTAGATAACCTACCGGCTAAGGAATTGTTGTTGTTGACGAGTGCTGTTGAGTCAGTTCTCACTCATAGAGACCTGAATAGGGTTTCCAAGGAGCTGCTGGTGGGTTTGAACTGCCAGTCTTGTGGTTAGCAATCTGGTGCTGATCCTACAGCGCCACACCAAGGCCAAAGAATATTATTACAGACTGACATCAGACACGGTTTTAGTGGATTCCCTCATTTGACAGCTGTCATTTAAAGAATTAGATTGCTAAGATTTTCCAGGTGTGATGTAAGTGGTGGTGTGTATTTATATAGTTTCAAATGTTAAGGCCTCTGAACAAAATAACCTTTGTTATTTTCAGTTAAAAAAAAATTCAGCCTCTTTGACTTCATAATGGGAGAAAAACAAGACTAAGCCAGTAGATCTCCTGAATTAGTTGTAGTTATAGAGGTATTTTTAGTTCAGGATAGCAAAAGCATTAAAGATATTCTGTACCCAAAATAGTCCTTTACCCCCAAGTGCTTCACGGCTCAGAGCAACTTCATACCAGTCAAAGAGGAAGCAGTAGCTCATATTTGCTGCTGGAAATTCAAGAAAGTTTAGGCAACCAAGTGTTATACTGACAGAAAATGGTGGACAGAAATGAAAGAATCCTGATTGTACCATAATTCACCTTGTCTATTATTTATATTTTTCTTTTTATTATATGTGTGTTCACACAATGTCACGTTATTTGTGGGAATAGAAAGTAATGCATGAAGAGGAAAGAAAGCACCTCTCAAGACTACTTCATGACCTTTCTAAAACCTGACAATATGCAAGTATTTCCAGAAGTTCATGGAAAAATTCCACTATCTTTGAATTTCATTTTTCCTGAACTTTTTTAAGCCCCTTTCTCTATGAAAAATATACAGAGATCTTACTTGTCAGACTCCAGTAACCCTTCATAAGTCACTTCCTTGTTTTCTGGCCTGTGGGCAATCTCTTCCCATTCCCACTACGTCAGATTTCAGTGGCGTGGTGTAGATGTGCGGCCTTACAAAACACAGTGGTCTCTGTTAGTCTCATTCCTTGAGTCAGCTGAGTTGTTGTTGATGGAGTTCCAGCAGGAGGCTGGCTTTTCATGACACAAAGGGTGACTCTTTGGCTGGATAAATTCTTGCTGGAAAGGGTAGCATTAATTTATTTTTTGTTGCTGTCGTTTTTGTTTTGTTTTTAATTGTGAAATATACTACCATTCAGAAAAGTTCATAAAACATAAATACATATGATTGGTGGTGGTAGTGTTTATGGGCTGTCTGTTTGGTCCCAACTCATAGTGGCTCTGTATAGAGTTTCTGAGGCTGTCAATCTTTATGGGAGTAGAAAACCTTCTTTCTCCTGCAGAGCAGCTGGTGAATTTGAACTGCTGACCTTGCAGTTAGCAGCCCAACGCGTAGCCCACTGTGACAGCAGAGCTCCTACACAGATGATTATTACAAAGCAAACAAACTACCCTCAAGACAAAACAAAACATTGCTAACACTTCAGAAGTGTTCATTATATTTTTAAATGAGGGATTTTCCAGTTGATTAAAAATAATACGCTACTAAAGTTCATGTGGAAATCCTTACTGACATTACTGCTCACCAGAAACACCAGACTCACTGCTGTTGAGCTGGTTCTGACCCATAGCGACCCTGTATAGGGTTTCCATGGAACAGCTGGTGGGGTTGAACCACCAACCTTGTAGTTAACACTGCAGTGTTTATCCTATTATTAAGTAGATCTTTTCTGGACTAAATTAGCAAGGCCTTACCTGTAAGTAAACACACTGGGAATTAACCCACAAATCAAAAAACCATCAGGGAAGAAATGACTTTAAGAGGACATTTCTTTTGGTTTGGTTTTCCAAGTGCTATTTTCATTTTTTTTTTTCTTCTTGGCGAAATAGGATCTCTTCGCTTTGTGAAATGACACAGGTTCCTGGATTCCTTTATTTCTCACTCCATCCACCTTAAAACTGATTAGTGATCTTTATTACTCTTGTAGAAACTTGTTTCTCATTTTGTGTCTTCTTTATTTTAGGGGTGACAGAGCGTTAGTTCTCTATTAGTAAAATTCTGGTTTCATCCCATGTGGATTTCATAACTTACAGGGAGGGACTCAAGGTCCTAAAAACGTGTATCACATTTCCAGATACTGATGCCTATTGGAGCTATCATAGGCTTCTTGGGGTCCCTAAGGAAGTCCTTTGTGTTGTAGTATTTCACCCTGACTTTTTCCAGCTAGTCTCTGCAAGCTTCTGGAATCATTCTCTTGGGTTGTCTTAGACCTCCCAGTGCTACAACTTTACATTTCCTTTGTCTCTTGGTAGTTTCTTCCAAAGTCTTGAGGGTGGGGACCTGGGGGGGGAGGGGGAGGTGAGGGATAGGGGATGTGCATATAGGGGGTGAATGGGAGAGGGTGATTTCTTGTTTTTGTTATTTACTGTTTTCTGTTTGCAGTAAATAATTGAAAGAACACTTAAAAGCTTTAAATTTAATTTTAAAATTAACTAATACAATTACATGATTAAAAATCTAAAGGTATACAGTAAAAAGTAGTCTTCCTCTTACCCAGTAACATAACTGGAGAGATAAACTGCTCACATGGAGATGATTAGCGTCGTGTGGTGTTTGAAGTAGACACTTGGAGCACTTGAGCTCACCGCAGCAGCAACAGGGAAGAAACCACATATAGGTGGGCTGCTAGGTGGGCTGCGCAGTTTACACCTGTGTTATTCACGGGTCAGCTGTACAAGTATTTTAAGGAATTGAACTCTCCTGAATGCCTTTGCTCTTAGTTTTCTTCTGACTGTTTTCTTCCACCTATGGAAGTAATCTTTCTTTTGTTTTCTCTTAAGTTTTATCAATGTAAATTATTAGTTCATTTCTCTTCTCTCATTTTTTTTCAAGGAAAGTCAAATAAGGAATTTTTGTCTAACTTCACTCCAAAACTGCTCTCCAATACTTGGAATTCCATGTTGACTTTCATGTAGCCACATGTGTTTCTCACTGTCGTAGATGAGGTAGCAAGAAAGCCCATGTTGTTGTTAAGTGCTGTTTAGTCAGACCTGATTCAGCAATTCTGTATCCAGGGTTTGAACTGCTGACCTTTGTGGTTTAAACTGATCCTGCAGTCCAGTGCTTTTTCTACAACGCCATGCCAGGATTCCATAAGAAAGCCTATATGTTGTTGTTATGTGTTGTGGAGTCAGTTCCGACTCATAGTGACCTTGTACAAGGTTTCCGAGGCTGTAAATCTTTACGGGAACAGAAAGCCTCATCTTTCTCCTGCGGAACAGCTGGCAGTTTAAAACTGCTGACCCTAAGATTAGCAGCCCGATTTGTAACCACTACACTACCAGAGCTCCTTAAGAAAGCCTATATAGATTACGTTAAAAGAAGGCCTAGAGAGCTGACTCCTATTTCCTTTTTCCATTTTTATGACTGATCATTGATATGTGAACTCTTTTTGCTTAGTGGGCAAACCTTGCTATAAGAAAGCCCTATAAACAAACACTAAAATGATAGCATTGTTTGATGTAGAGCACACTCTTATTGCATTAAAAAAACATTTATGTATTCCCAAAATTCAGTTTTCCTTTAACTATTTGTGTATTCCCCAAATTCAGTTTTCCATCTATACCATTTACTGCAAAGTGGGGTCTTCTTAAAGTCATAAGATATTAGAATTTGATGGCCGTAGACATTAATTAGCTAGTGCAGACTAGCTGTTTTATAAATGAGGTTTAGTGCTTTGTGAATATAGTTAGTGGTAGAACTGGGGCTAGAGCCCATACTTCTAACTCGGTTTATAACAGTGCCTTTCTGGTTCCCTCCCTTTCTACAACTGTGTAACTGACATGTGATCTTGAAGTATCTCTCTGCAGTTACTTTTTAAAGAAAGACTATCTCCTACCTACCACAGTCTATCCCCAACCTGCTGCAAAAAGCTATAGTGGAAAGAGCAGCTAACTAAGAAGATAAAAACCTTAGTTTTAGCTCCAGTTTTGCCTTTGTCCAGTCACTTAAATTCTCTGGACTTCAATTTCCTTATCTATCATATGTGAAATATAGGTTGAGTTATGTCCCTAGCTTTCTAATTCTACTTCACACTTGTCCCTGCTATATACTGTGCTTCAGCCTTGGTACATGACTTTGTTTCCTGAGTGTCCCCTGCTTCCTGGTCTCCATCCCCTTCTCTTGGAATATATGCCATCCTTTACTGTCTCCTTTTGACTGTCTACTCATTCTCCCAGGTCCAGCCCAGAAGCTA